GGACCAGGCCCTCCATGCTGGGGGAGCCTTGAATCTGAGACAGTAAAATATGGCAATGAGTCCTACAAGACTCAGACCCAAGAATGACCCAACTGGCAAAGGCCAGCAGCAATTATAAAAAACAGATCTATCCTCTTGACAGAGAGGGTGCCCCACATCAACAAACCTGCAGCTGTCTGACCGTAATAAAAATCTGGTCTTGGGCCTAAAATGGGGCTTCATACCAAGGTAGACTGACCAACTTAACATAACTTTGACTCTGACTTGAAACCAGTTAGTTTCAAGCCAGCTAGTGAGGACATAAGCCCCAAAGCAGAAGAACTTCCATGAGATGCCTAGTGAATACGATAAACAAGCAATGACCAGCAAAGATATAATGGACTGAGGCTTAGTGTGTGTTGTAGTGAGAGTGGAGATCCATGGAACTGTTACAGTTAGCTGTAGTTATGAGTTACATGTGTCCAGTAAATCCAACTACCAATCCCAACTCCATGTCTAGTCACTAAGAAGTGATAATATATAAATCTTTTAGCCTAGTTTCCTTATTTTTTAAAAATAGAAGGAGGCTTATCAAACCACCTTTTTGTTTGTCTTTGTATCCGTGTTTGTGTATTCACCTGCATCTGTCCATCTATCTGTGTATAACCCTCTTTATGATTTCATCTTACTGTCTGTATATCCTACCCTAATTTTTTGTTAGAAGGCTTATGAGATCGCCTTACTGACTGACTGACTATGTATGTTTGCGTTCCCCCCTCCTAATTTTTTCATCTTCTGTGCGGTCTGAGTTGTATCAAAGGAAAGCAAGCAATTAGTTCTTCCCAAAACTTTTTTTAATTCAAACTGAATACAACTGCAGAAGTTCACTCAGTAGAGTGACGACTGGTGAGTCAGCAAGGGCATTACATTCAGATCAGCTCTGGGTCCAACGTCATCTCCTGTGCAATGTATTTTGCATACTCTTTCCACCAGGGCTGGGGGGAGGGATCATACAAGATGTGAAGCTGACAACTCACCTCTATCTGGTGCCAAAATTAAGAAGGTGTGAAGCTCCACCCCCATATATCTCTGTGGTGTGGAGTTTAATTAAGCACAGAGGAAACTTTATCAATACATAAACAGAAACATCACTTCCAAGAAACTAATTTGCATATTTCCATGAAATTCTGATGTCCTGCCAGGTGAAAGACCTGGAACTTTTTAACATGTAATTTTGGATGTTTTAAAAATATAATGATGGGAGCTTTGGAGGTAATGAAACAGCAGACCTCTGTCGCACAGTAGTACACAAATTAATCTGTTAATTATGTGAGATGATTTAATAAGCAACCCCGCTGGAGTCAATTTAGCACTTGCTTTTCTCTTGTATTACGATCACGTAAAAGATGAAGTACAACATTTCAGCAGAGTGACTCGAATTGGTACCAAACATCAACAAGAATGAGTCACACTTACGACATGTGGCATCATCCCTCCAATTCCTGATGGCTGTTGTTTTGCTTTGTTGGTTGCACACCTTTACAAACACTGCAAAGGACTGACAAGCACACTCACTTCGCCGAGAATTCGACTGGTTGCAGGAACAGTAGTCCCATTTGCAAGCGTCATAATATGGCTTCACATCTACAACCTATGAATAAAGAACTCTTCTTTTTAATTCAAAATTTGTTAAAAGAACCAGAAGAGAAATGATTACAATGGTTTGGCCACAGAAAGAGATGAGACAGAACAAGGATACTGAGAAGGGCGTTACAGTTAGACTTTAAATGAGAAAGACCTAAGAAATGGCCCAGATAAAGATGAATTAGCAGGTACTGGAAGGCATCAAGATCTGGCAAGAAATATAAAAGTTAAAGCAGTGGGAAGAAAGTAGAGATTAGAAACTTTTTTTTTACCATCAACCCATACAAAATGGAATGAATGTTAGAAAAGATGACAAATGACAATATCAAAACTGTACAGCTTCCTGTATCTCTGATTTATACAAATTCTTATCACTCAAACAACTGTAAACTTTAATTATCCCAGCATATAAGAAATCAGTGGTTTGAAGCACAAATATCGTTATGTACACTTTTTGGCAATTTTGAGTTACTGTGTACCGTTGGCTGTTAAACATGCAACCTTTGCTATGAAAAAATACTGCAAGTCATGGAAAACCTTGGCAATGGGACAAAGAACTGAAAAATATTGCACGCCATACCAAAACACTGCATTGCTGCATATTTAATGAGAGTTTACTGAAAAATATGTATACTGGACACAAAAAGTTTTGCTCAAAAAAAAAAAAAAAAAAGTAAAGCTATCCCTGTACCAGGCAGTGAAGGCCCATATGGTTGTGAGACGTTGAGGGTCCCACACTATCTAGAAAATCGGCTCAAAGATGGCGGTAAGGTTGTCAGCCTTACGCGCCGGCCGCGCTTTACTCCACAGGAAAATTATTTAATTAATTCCTTGTACTCATTTCTGTTAGAGGCTGAGTAAACCCCAGGGCCTAGTGCGGCTGGAAGGATTAGGTCAAACCATTTAAATATGTTTGTATAACAAACCAAGTTCCTGCACTTGTACTCACAGCTCTGCAAGCAGAAAAACTAGGATTCTGAAGAAGTTTGTTACAAAATGTTGTAGCAGCACTCTCAAGCTGAAAATGCTCTTCCTCATCATCATGCACTTTGTACCTGCCACATGCATGAGTTTCTACCGGAGGTGATGTGCACTGATCAGCTGAAATGCAGAAATGACCCAAGTAACAGGACAGAAGTTCATTCAGTCTGTCTGGGACAAAGGGTTCAACTGACTGGAGGAAAATCTAAAATAAAAAAGACAGGACATGCAGTGTGTGTTAAATTGAAAAGATTCCTTCAAAACTGAGAACTCTTAACACTTTGCGGACCAGACGCATGATATCTTGCTTTTCGCTTTTAAACGTGGCGGACCAATCGCATGATATCATGATTTTAGAACACGTTAGGTTGTAACACACTATACCTTGCTCTGTGCCACGCAACTACAATGAATACTGCGTAATAAATCTTCGGAATGTATGCTAGGGATTCCTAACTTGACCTGGCTGGCTAGGGTCCCTACTCCAAAAGAAAATAAACTCTGTCCCTTCCAGCTGTTTATGTACCAGGCAGGAAGTTAGTAGAGGGGAATATGTTTCTAGGACAAAAGTGGTTGAAGGCAAGCGATCTCTCGGAGTTGTTTATGGAGCTATCCGCCGTGCCTTGTGGAGGAGTAGTAATTAGCGACTCAGACAGTGGAAGTGACAGGGTCACAAAGAATTGTGGCCACAGATAATAAAAGTGAAAGTTGCCTTGTGGCTTATAAATTGTGCCATTTTCAATTCATTTTGGGTTTACAAAAATCTAAACCCTGATTCGAAATTGAAATACAAAGCAATTTTGATGAATGGTGCAAAGGCTTGGGCTACAGACCAGATGGTGGCGGCAGAACCTGAGTCAGACAGGCTTAGTGCGACCTAGCCCATCAACTCCCACCCCACGCAGGCCTCATGTGGACACCCCTGGGCGACTCTCGGGTGATATGCGGAAACATACCCTCGTGAAAATTGTGAAGAGTGAACATTCCAAGTGGAAGCATCCTTCTAGGCAATGCCGTATTTGCGCAGTTCACAAAAAAAGGACAATGACTATCTACATTTGCAAATTTGTAATGCCACTTCACAAAGGGGAATATTTCCAGAAATATCACACTCTCAAGCACTTCTAGGAGCATTGGTAAGTGTTTTCCAAAAATTTTAGTTCATAAAATTAATTAGGAGATTTTATATTAATTTTTAAAGTGAACAGAGCACAAGTTAGGGTAGTAGGTGTAAAAATGCAGGTCCACAAAGTGTTAAAAACATTCAGGATATCTGAAGCATGGCCTGATGTGAGATTTCAGATTCTTACAGCAGTGAATGTGAGGATTATAATCTTCAGGGCCATGATGCCATGAGACCTGGCAGAAAGGTACCAGTGTTTCAGAAGTACCTGCTACATCCGTCTTCAGGACAGAAGCTAGATGCAGCAAGTTCCCTCCAAAATGTTGGTTATCTTTCTACTAGATTATACAGCATCATATCAGCTTAGTATATAGATCATCCACAAAGTAAAGACCACTTGGTGATTACAAAACATAAACAAGATAAAAGAAATATTTATGTCATTACCACAGACATGCAATTATTTCTCTACATTATCCCCTTAACGATTCAGGCACTTGTCATATCGTGTGATGAGTTTCTGTATGCCTGCATCATAGAAATTTGCTGCCAGTCCACTGAACCAGTCTTTAACCATGTTCTTTGCTTCTTCATAGTTACCCATGTGTGTGCATGCAAATGGTCTTTATTTTCTGGATGACCCTCCTATAAGAATCAATATGAAAAACTGTAAGGAGGTTAAAACAATATTGCAGCAAAATGAAGAAAGTTCCTTTGGTGATTCAAAAGTAAAGAGAAGAAGGGGCAGAAGAAGAAGAATGAGGAAAAGAAGAACAAGAAACTGAGGAAGGAAAGAAGGTGACAAAAAGGAAAGAAAAGAAAAAGAAGAAATGGACAATTGAAATATGCCAACCTCCCAGTGGTTCAACCTTCCAGCTATTGATGAAAGAAGAAAGACTATGTGCTGATGAACTGTCTTTACTTGTGAAGTCATTTGCAACTCTCCCATCCAGCAGCCCACACAGGCCTGCAGTCCTGTTCCACAGATTCTCCATTATACCAACACCCACATAATCCTGCAACAAGTCAGAATGTAAGCATCTATAGCTTTATTTCATTTAAGTGTATTCCCAGTGTAGATCTTCATCTGAATAAACAACCTGTCACACTAATGAATAATAATATGACAAACACGTTCAAGAACTGGTGTGACTCATAAAAAGCAATTTTTCTAGGCTCTGACATAATATAGCAAAGATACTGTACCATTCCAGCGCTGGCATCAGTGCATAGCTTCCCAAGGGGAGTACTTTGAGGGTGACCACAGTGATATTAACTTTATTGTCAGACCTCGTATGTATAAATAAGCGTTCTGGGTTATGATACCTTGTTGTAGACTCACAAAACAGTGTCATAACCCAGAATTCAGTATGCATCTTCACTGCTAGAAAACTTCAGGTAACACTGTATACACTTTACCTGGCCATCCCATTTTACTGTAAGCCCAATGCCTGTGAGCTTGAAGATTATAAAATGGGCTTCATATTCTACTATGATGCCACTCAACTGTGTAGGAATTCCTACACGACGTGTCCCAACATAGAAAATTGGGCTCCCTTCACCTGCAATAAAATTGCATACATACACTTAGTATGTTTACCTTATGCAAACCATATTAAATATAAATTTGTCAGTAACGAATTCAAAACACCATATCATTGCAGCTAAATTCAAAATAGATAACACCAAAAAATTCTCACAAAAATTGTATATTCGTTGCTGTGTTAGTGTTATTACTTTTATATATGCCTTTCTGTGTACTCGAAGATTCTGAACTCCTGTGGCCAGTAATTTGCTCATTAGATTTGCAGGTTAATTAATGACACTACACATGGTCCAGACTGGCTGAGCCTGCTGAGCCTACTATCCAATGGGCACTGGGGGCTCTGATCCCAAGTGACAAAACAGACAAGGCATTAAGTTCACCACTCAATTCTATCCACAGTCCCAACATGATTTTATGATCCCTGGCCCCAACTCTGTGTGATCTGGCAAGCCTCAGTGCAGGTGAAAGTATGTAGTGCTTTTGTCAAACCTTCAGCAAAATATTAAGTGCTCAGTTAATCAGAGTGCAGCCAGGAACATTCTGACATTACAGCAGAACTTGCAAATGGACAATACAAGTATCAATGTGCATCGACAACATATGACTGACAGCCAATGCAACCTCGATGCAGATGGCGCTAAGTGCTGACATGAGGATCGCCAAATCCCAGCAAGACTGCTAAGAATGCATGAAGCTATACAGATATTTTCATAGCATGGCGTTTAATAAGTGCCAGGAATAACTTGACAGTTATGAGAGGAGCCACTTTTGCATTTAACATCAAAAAGTTGTGATATGTCACAATCAAGTGGGTAGTGTTGGGAAGTCCTAAGTTCAGATCTTGGCCAAGAGACTGGCTATCCTGCTTAATGCACACAAGTATCAGGATAGAACCCAGAATTAGTTGACAGTCACTTCCTTCCACACTCATTTTCATTAATCAACCATTCGGTATCATATATAGTGTGAGCTACTGACAGCATCATTAAATAAATCACAAATAAGTAAATAAAAGTAGGAACATCAAGAAAACTATTTATTTTCGTAAAGATGATTTTTGATGGACAGTTGAAAGCATATCTTGAATTTTCATCTACAAGTAGTCTATGGTGTAGCTCATGGTTAAGAAATTAAAGAAATGAACGCACTATGAAGCCAGCATTACAACGGACATGTAAGGAACATCCATGTACCTAACAATTAAATATAACACTGATGTCCAATCACAGACATTTCAAACACATTTAAGAAGTCATACTGATACTTGCCTGAGAGGGTCAGGGTGTATGCCTTGTCCTGTGCAAAAATCTTGATGGCAGTGTGAGTAGCTTTTGGTTCTAAATTGATAGTAAATGTATTATCCACCGCATCAAGTGCCACTGTGTATGAGCACTGACTCTCAAAACTGAAATTAATAAAATCTGACATAATTACCTCCACAGAGGAGGACGACAAGAGAAAGATAACTTAACTTCCTCACTCTGCAGTCAGGCAGTGCTGGGTGAGGGATGAAGCTCCCAACATAAAGACCATGTATGTGATACTGTGAAGCCTGATCAGGGCTATATAGCACACTTTAAGAAGAAGACAGATAAATATAGAGAAATAGTGGAATGCAGGTTAACAGAGAAACAGCTAAAGAAACTCAGAGAAAATATGCTTCAGTGTCGTTTCGTCTACCACAAATACTTGGAACAAAGTAGCTTGGCTTCTGTGATTAAAAGGGTTTCAAATGTGCAGACATTGCACAGACTAGCTAGCTCCTGCAGNATAAAGACCATGTATGTGATACTGTGAAGCCTGATCAGGGCTATATAGCACACTTTAAGAAGAAGACAGATAAATATAGAGAAATAGTGGAATGCAGGTTAACAGAGAAACAGCTAAAGAAACTCAGAGAAAATATGCTTCAGTGTCGTTTCGTCTACCACAAATACTTGGAACAAAGTAGCTTGGCTTCTGTGATTCAAATGGTTTCAAATCTGCAGACATTGCACAGACTAGCTAGCTCCTGCAGAGTTATTAAACAGCATATGAGGTACTCTTAGGTCATTACTATGAAGACTACTGTCCTTTATGATGTGTGTGCAGTGTGGTAGAATATTACAAACATTTTGGAGGAACCTTCAATCTTCAGGACAGAAAAGTGAGAAAATTTCTACCCTTAAGACTTAGGCAGCACACAACTACATGAACTCACAAACCAGAAGCCCGCAATCTGAGCAATCACTGCCATGAAAACCTCACTTATAACTGTAGTTCATTCTTCACATTACCTAAACACTTGACCATCAAAAGTTTTGTAATGGCTTTGTCCCCATATGTAGCAGAATCCGGGATGTGGCAGTTGCTGTATCACTGATATTTCTGGTCTCCCTAAGATCCCAACTTCAAATGGCAAGATCCCTCCAATAAGCTGAGACCAGCTCGAAGAGTTGCTCCAGTTCACAGAATTGATTGAATTTAGTGATCCATAATGCAAAGTCTCTGGTAGGGCATTCCCAGGTAACACTTCAATACCAGCCTCTGCAAGAACAGTAAAATATTAAGTCAAGCTACCTTGAATATTATTGCCTTGTTGTTGTTCACGTCCAATTAACCTACACCAGAAATATCATGGCACCATACATTTCTCACTAGCCAAAAATAATGTGACATCATAGCTGAAAACTGGAATAGTGTAGCCGTAGTGGATGTCCATTGCCAGATACACTTCAGTAAACATATTCTCAAGGTAACTCAGTCAATAATAGGACCTCTGTTGCCTAGTAGCAAGCTGCTATGCTTCATAGCAATGGACAAAACAAATAATAACAGAATGAGCAAACAGTTTGAGATGGTGATCTATATTCAGTGTGCATGGAAGTTTGTTCAGTCAGAGATTCTTGATATGGCATTCAGGAGGGGTTTAATGTGTGAACAGTGATTCGCAGTCATTGATTGCGAACTGTTATAACTGATTGTAATTGTAAAGACTTGCCAATAAACTCAATCATCAAATCCAGAACCCACTGTTATTAGTCACATGAACCCCAAATACATGGCGGTATTATAAAATCAGTCCAGGCCCAGCCTGGTGTTATACAACAGGTAATTTAAAAAGCCAGATTAAATCTGGGTTGGAACCTCAGAGGGTTAATAAAATTATATTACTTCCTTACTTAAATTGGTAGAGAATGTGACTATAAGAACATTTGTACCTTGCATTTAGTACACAGGACTATACAAGTGCTTACCAAAGACGCACTGTGGGACAGGAGTTGGGAGGAAACTTCCTGTCGAGTAGAGACACACATACTGGGAGGCAGGCTGCTCCTGAAAGTGCGACCCAGAAGGACAGCTGACATTGCAAGTGACACCAGTGTCAGATCCACTGCACCTGTAGCCTCCATTGAACCCTAGCTTCCCTGCAGAGCATGCTGATGCAGCTGTGAAAGACAAATGTAATCATTCTCATCATATTTTAGCGTTCTGAATATATAACAAGTATTTTTATGACAGACATTGCTCTCGATCACTGCATCCTATAGCATAAGTAAAATTATGATTCAATTCCATGTAATTTAATCCAAATTTTATTTATGGTACAGCAAACAATTCTGAGTGTTGATGGTTACTGTTTCTTTATTATCATAATAAATCACCTATAATGTTTCAGATTTAATGTCATGGTTGAGATCATTCTTGATTCATATGTAGCAGGTACAGACTTCAAATCTCGACCTATCTTCCTGAAGTTTCTTGTGGTTCTTCTCGGTTCCTCCAAGCAAATTCCAGGATAGTATCTCAATTATGCCATGGCCTCTTCCTTCTAAATCCGTTCAAATTCATCATTTATCAATGACCCTAAAATTCAATTCCATATTGCCTAAATACTGGTCACTGTAATTGAGATTACATCTACCTAATGGACCCAGCTGAGTAGTAGGTGCTTTCCCACCCTTTCACTTCCGCTGAGGATGGAATCAGATCTACTTCCCAAAACATTATATTCTGTTCAGAGAACTTAGATGACGGATGAAGTCTACAAATCTAGTATTATTACATGTAATATACCATCGATGGAACTCCTTAAAACTGAGAATCAGGCCTGCTCTAAGTTGTATGGTCCTGAGCAAAATGACGGCCAATTTCTCAAAAATACTGGACAGCTAGCCCATATTAACACTGTATCATCACCCACAAATGAAAACACAAAATCCATACTAATGTGACATCTCATTACAATCTTCTGAGTTATGATATTGTATAGTTGCATAGGTGGTTACCAACATGCCTACACTGAAGAAGGAAGTACCAGACTCTTCAGAAACATTAGTAACCATCTGTCTGTCTAAAACATCTTTGAGGGTATGTCATACCTTTTGTATGCAACCTTTATGCATGAAAAGTCATATGTGTTCAAGAAGAAGTCCAGTATGATGGTTCCCATCCTAAGTTGAAAAAAGACTCCAGTAACTTTCTAATGATGACATAATGAGACATATCACCGCTGATATAATGAATCTTTATGGTTTGCATCATGATGTATGTTCAATAATCATGTAAATTGGGCCATCAGCACAACATAAAAGTAACCTCAAAATGAAGACAAACTAGATACTGTTGCATCACTACTGTTTATTTATTATGAGAATATGTACACACCTTCTTTATGTGGTGTTAACAACCCAGTTTACATGATGATATAATGACACCTCAGAGATGTTTAACACAACTTATATGAGACTGCACAAGGCGTGCACTGTCTTCGCTCGCTCGGAAGCCGGGATCGTGGGTTCGAATCCCACTCAGGGCATGGATGTTTGTGTGCGTTTTTCTGTGTTTGTCTACAGGTAGAGGCCTTGCGACGAGCTGATCACTCGCCCAAGGAGTCCTACCGCATGTGTAAGATCTAGTAAACTGAAGTGAAATGGAGAGTTTCATGGAGGTAGGCCTAGGCCCAAATTTGGGCTGTAGCGCCATAGAAAAAAAAAATGAGACTACACAGTGTCATAGCGCAGAAGATCACCATAACCTGAACATCCAGTGATGATAGATCATGGCAGTGACTCACCATACTGACATTGAGGGCCTCTGAATTCTTGTGGGCACTGGCAAACATTGAAAGATAGGCAGTTACCTCCATTCTCACACAGTGGTTTGCAAACAGCTGCAACAAACACATATCATTTCACATCCTCATATGATTCCCTAAAATCCATTTTAATATGATCTTTCAATGTCTTTCTCAGTCTTAAACTTGTCTCCTTTACAAAAGACTTCTAAAATTCTTTATGCAGATTCATTTCCTTATCTCAGCTATATGTTCAGCCCATCACAATGTCCTAGTTATGACTACTCTAACAATAACTACATAATCTGTACAAATTATTAAGATCCTTATTATGTTATGATGGCATAAAGTCTGTTGAAATTTCAAAAGCAAAATGCTATGGCCATAATCAGATCTTATACATGAGAGCCCTTGAGGGACAATTTGAAATCATGATTTCATTAAATATGCTAGTTAGAAAATGAAATGCTCCAGAAAGATAGCTACATTTACACTAAAATAATAAGTAGTTACTATAGGATTCTGACGATGGTGTATAACACACTGATATGTTGGGATTTTGGACTTTATCCATCGTCCTGGTTTTTAAGATAACAAATAAAAACACGACGTTTCGGAAACGGGATCTGTTTCCGTCCTCAGGTAAAGGNACTTAAGAAATCAGCAATAGACACTAACCAGTACTGTTACCTACAGATACACCTTGCCCCTACAGTCATCTAGGAAACTTGGTCTCCTTTCCACTAGATGGCTACTCCTTCCTGTTACTTGCTTTTTGTCTTCATATCTTCACTTTCAGCTCTCATAAATTCCTTGCATCTTCCATCATCTCTGTCTGTGCCTTCCCATTTCTGTTGTAAGTCAGGATCACTTCCAAAAATTATCTTAACCGCCATTTTTTTATTCATTCTAATCACATGGCCCACCCACTCCAACCTTTTCCTTTTAACATATGCTTTGAGATCAGGGATTTTATGTAATTTCCTCAATTCTTGGTTACTTCTCATTCTCCAAACCCCTTTCTCAGCTGTCGTTTCACACACTTTCACCTAGAGGTGTGCTATGAAATTTTTTCTGGCAAAAGTGCACATTGTAATACAAAAAAAAAAAGCATGCCTACCATAGAAGTATGATAAATTAAGTCTTTAACATACGTTGGCAATCAGGTATGGTCTTCAGTTCGGGTTGGCTAGGAATCCAGGCTCCCTCACGACAAACCATGTTTGCAATGGCTGACCCATCTGGGAACTTGTGACCATCTGCACACATGATAGTGCAGGTCCTAAGAACAACAGAAAAAAAAAGTTTTGCATATTTTATTTATTGTATCAATGAAGTCACATTTACCAATCACTTTCTGTCACTCCATATTCCACTTCTTCATTTGACCCTAGCTTAAAGGAGGGATATCAGTAAAGTCATAGAAGATTATGTGCATGTAGTAGAACCTTTATAATTCAGAGAACTGGAGAGGAATACATCACTGATAAATTACTTCTGATACTGAAGTGTCAAAAAGGTGTCGGTCACCAAGTACTGACAAATGATGAACAATGTATCATTTCTGAAAACAAAAGGTCTATATTTAATCAAAAATTGGTGAAAAGGAAGTTCCTTAACAACATACTTCACAAATAACTAAGACAACTCCCACAGAAAAGGTTCAACTTGCTTACATAAGACTGAAGTGAAGTGAGAATGACATCAGTCAGAGGGATACATACTTCCAGAGGCAGCACAAGCCTACATGCTGTCCCAGGCAACAGTAAATTCCACCATCCCAATTTAAAATTTATCATGTTCCTCAAAATGTTGCCACAATTAATAAAAAAAAGTCTGAGACACTGTGACAAAAGTACCATTGGCACCATAAATCTTAAAATAATTAAAAAACACTAATAAAAATATGGCACCATTCAGTCACGGCAATCATGTGTCACTGCTAGCTTTTGAATACAGAATTAGGCAAGAGTGTTGGTACCTGCTGCTTCATGGTATAGAATGTTTAGATACCTGATAATTAATTAATTGTCATGACACAAACAAAAAGACGATTCTAAAGGGTTCTGACTTTGGATTACCAAGTTTTTGGACTTTTGTCTATCTTCCGATTATCTGCAGGTAATTATATTATTTTAGTTCTGGGGTACAATTTTTGTTCCACACATACCACTAGCAATAGGTGGGTACTATTAAACATGAAAACCTTTGATTTTTCTTCTGCATTGCCATTTCTCAGTTCAACTGCTGATTTGGTTAGATGTGTTCATTTTCCACCTCTTTTTCCATCTTACTTGAAGGTCTTTATATGCATTTCCTCAATTTTTGTTGTAGATTTTCTTGTTATCTCTCCTTGACATTTCTCGAGCTACCTTCATGAGTAGCTTTAGTGCTTGGTAAGACAGGCTAAAATTAAACTCTATTCAAACTTCTACCAGCAGTAGGTTCATAGACAGTGTGATTTTCCAAGTTGTGACACATTGCAGTCTTGAAGGCAGCATTGTTCCTCCTAAACACTGATATCCACCTCCATGGCTACATTGTGTAACAACACAGAAGACCACAATCTCAGTACTCATCGCTGTAAAAACCTGAAAACTCTTAAAAGTATATACACATTTATTTTTATCCTTCAGACAGAATCAATGACTTAGGTCTAGTCCTTATGCGGGGAAAGTTACAAGCAGAGCACCTAAGCCTTATGCCAGAAATAATAAATCTCATTCCTGTGAAGGTCTTTCAGTCACTTGATGCCTTTCATAGTAATTTTTTACCTAAACCTTTCTTACCAAGCACTAAATTGAACTGAACTGAACTGTTGATGAACTTACTTTGAGTTACATGAACGACGTGAGTTTGCAGGGAGAGGTGGGTAATTAAGACACGGCTTCTTCTCAAATTGACACTGTGGGCCAGCATAATTTTCAGGGCAGGTACATTCATTTGGCCTCACACAGATTCCATTATGTTGGCAGGGTGGCAGACATACAGCTAAAACACATAGGCAGTATTCAAAGCTCCAATTCTAAAACTGTTTAAAGTTTATTTGGCTTTCTAGGATCAAGTCCACTAACGTTATCTGCTATGTGTTTCTGTCTTCTGCAACCCAAAAATGTTTCATATATATATTGTAATAGCAGCCAAGAACAACATTCCTTCAGTAATGCAAACAACCTTGCTTGTCTAACATCATGGACAGTAGGCTTCCTTCTATCCACAAAGAGAATATCCAATTCTCAGGTTAACTGTGATATTTAAGGTATGTCAGTAGAGTAGATACTATAATTTGTGTGACAATACAGTGGGGCAAATAATCCATAAAAAGTGACAAAATATGTAAGATTTGAGGTTTTTACGGCGGTGACTATGAAGAAAGCAGTCTTCTGGGATGTGTCTTCGTGACAAAATATGTTGTATAGATGGCTTCCACAAAATAAATTGTATATTATGTAATATTTGGGGTTTCCACGGCGGTAACTATGAAGAAAGCAGTCTTCTGTGATGTGGCACCATGTAGATGTGGTGTTAACCGACGTTTCGGTGGAACATATAGTCTCCATCTTCAGGGTAGAAGGAATAATTAGAAAATCCGCCAGTGAAGAGACAGTGAGAACTGGTGCAAGCAGACTAATGTTGGAAATAAACTCAACTATATGAGAGCAGGGACAACAAAATGCCGTAATTCAGTTTCAGTACAACCCTCAGCTAAACAGTTGATTTGAACATTAAAATGAGGGAAATTTTAAATGGTAGTAATTTAACACTGAGTTCATTGAAACTGAATATCAAAGAAAAGAAAACCTTAAGTTGAGGAACTTCAGATCGTGTTCCATTGTATTTTCATAGTGTCCATCTCATTTCTTTTGGGGTATGACTGTTTCAATTGTACACACTGTGAATTCTAAGCTTGCTATTGTATCATATGAGTGGTTACAAGAATTTTAGCAGTAGTTAAAACGTGATTATATGATCCTTGGTTATAAGATATTGACTATATTGACTAGCAACATCAGACAGTCAAAACAGGCAAAAGTCAAAATGTGGAGAAAAGATGACAATAATAACAAATAACTAAGTTTATCCTTACGTTCACAATCTGGAATAACCTCCCATTCAGCATTTTCTACTTGCCACTCTCCCTCCTGACAGGTGATGAACAATTGTTTTTCACCATTTGGAAACATGTGACCTGACATGCAAGACGCTCGACAGCCACTGTAAAATCAACCATAAAAAACATTCAAATATACTTATTTTTAAGAACACGATCTTGTGGAACATGACACCTTGAAGACTGTCGGATCTTTACCAACATTTCAGAGGCACATGCTGCCTAGATCTTTGAGGTAGAAAAGTAAGCCAAGCATGAAGGAGCAGTACAGATGTATGGAGGGGGACTGCTATGACCAGAGCCCTCAGCATACCAACAGGAGAAACAGGAATGAGAAAGAAAACACGTCCTTCAAACTAGGCCATTGGGCCCCATACAGATAATTCTTTTCAGGACAGAAACAATGTTGGTAGCAGAGCGTGGTTGCGATCCACGGACCCCTCTTAGGGCAATATTTCTCTCCCCTTCTCCTACCCTTATTATTTAGTCTATACATGCTCTCTTCTCCTCCCTTTTTTATTAATTTTTCTCCTTTGCACTATTCTGTGCATCAGACCCTTGTTAGTATTTTATCTTAATATTTACCTGTATAAAGAGCACTGCAAAACAGCATTCTGAGGTGTATTTGGTCTGCTTGTACAACCTGCTTAACAAAAAAAAATGGAATCATACTCATTCTTTAAGCTAAATCTAAAGGTTTGTAACAATAATTATGAGTATTATTCTGAACACTGTCCATCATTTTGATTTTGAGCTTAAATTAAAACTTGTTCTAACAGGCCCAACAGAGTAAGAACCTTTCCTCCCTTACATCTAATGATGAAAACAAAATTAATTTCCAAAATGTTATACAACGTATTTTAAAAGATTTAAGATTAAGAACAATGCCCAAAACAGTAGTCCCAATGAAGAACACAGAAGATGTTGAAATTTCTATTTTAGTATTTTCCAGCAGCATCAGCATAAAACACTGTGCATTAATTTAGATTAATAATACTTAAAGTTACTGCTGCATATCATATTCAATTTCACAAGACATTATTAAATTGCTTTCATTTTTCAATTTACGCTTTGTTTATTTTATATTTACTACTCTGTCAGTGACTGTAAATACAGTAGACCTTGTTTTATGCTAGGGTTACACTCCTGGAGATGATGGTGTATACTGAATAGGCACAAATGAAAGAAGAATTGCAATGTATTTCAATGGGATGCATTTTAGGTATATAAAAATTCAGACTCTTTTTCATAAAATAATACAATACATTTTAAATATGGGCATTACAGATGGTAGGAATGCCCTGGCTGTGGATCATTAGGATCGAATGGATCATCTTCTACCATCTTTGGATCAGTTGGAGGCTCTTCAGATTTATTTTTAAAGTAAGATAGGAAGGTTGTTTGCCCTGCTTGATGCCTCTCCTCCTGCAGAACACGGTATTATAGCTGCAGTACTACACTGACTCCTCTTATAGTAGAACAACTCTGTTTCCTATCAGGATCAAAGGCACCAGAGTTTCCTGCAGGTCATGGGTTTCTATAGACTGTAAAATGGGCCCTTATTGTTCTTGCTGCTGCTATTTCTGAGTCATCTGAGCAGCTAAATCTTCCAGGTTATTTGCAAGAGGATATGAATGTCTCTCCAACAATTTTGGGGAGAAACAAAAGAAATTACTAGAAAAAAATTTTAAACTGGCAGATATTCAAATTGGCACATATCATACCATTGTAAACCAAGGGCCCACTGTACTGTATTTCTAATCACTAATGCTGTTCTTATGTATGATCATCAGTATTATTAATATAGAATCCTCCAGCAAACTGTTACTACTTTCACAGAGTGGTATTTAGTTAAGAAAATAGCCAATGACCTTCTGCCTGACCCAGCTCCTTGCAACTTTTGGTTGTAGAGGATGGCATAGGATTTCATTTCATTTCATTTATTCAGCATTCCATAAATCCTTACATGGTTTAACACCAATGGATATAGAAGTAGTCAACATGAGTAAATCACATACTGCAACACAGCTGTGTAATGTCATACCAGTTAAATTTAATAATATACAACATGACACAAAAACCATTATCTATAACAATAAGGCGCTATCAGTTACCACCTGTAACAAATCCAAACTTCAATCGTTGTCACAGTTAAAATATTCGTCCAATGAATAAAATGACTTTAAAAATAGGAATTTTTTAACAGCAGACCTAAATTTTTTAATCTCATAAGCTTGTCCTTTTATATTACATGGAAGTTTATTGAAAATTTTAATTCCAAAATAATATGTTCCCTTTTGAAAGACAGTTAAGTTACATGAGGGATAATGGAGGTTATTACTATGTCTTGTGTTGATTGTATGAATCTCAGAATTAGATAAAAATAGATCTTTGTGTTTGACCACAAATAACAAAATGGAAAAAATGTACTGTGAGTAAAGGGGCAGAATCTTTAATCTCTTAAACAACTCCCTACAAGAATCTCTACTTCTAGAATTGGTGATTACTCTTATTACCCTCTTCTGTAGTCTAAAGATATGGATGCAGAGGGGTGAATTACCCTAGAAAATCAGGCCATATGTCATACTAGAATGAAAATATGAAAAATATACTGATCTTATTGATTCTAATGACATATAGGGTTTAATAGCCCTAACTGCATAGAAAGCTGAACCCAGTTTGGACATGAGCCGGTCAATGTGTCCTTTCCATGATAGGGTATTATCAATCATCAAACCGAGGAACTTAATATCAACGGTTGTAGCAATTTGACTGTTACTATAAATGACAGGTATGACCATTGTAATACTATTCTTGGTTGAGAAATGCATAAAGTACGTTTTATTGAGATTCAATGTCAGTACGTTAGCCTTAAACCATTCATTTATATTTTTCAATATCAAATTTAGTTCATTTTCATACTCAATACGATTAGAGTTCTGAACAATAATACTGGTATCATCCGCGAAGAGAATAGGTATTGATTTACTCTTTATAATATTTGGCAGATCATTAATGTATATCAAAAACAATAAGGGACCTAAGATTGATCCCTGGGGAACACCATTGGTAATCTTACCCCAACTTGAGTGAGTGCACGTCTTATTAGTTACAACTCTTTGATGTCTACCATGAAGGTAGGACTCCAGTAACGCATTAGCTTTCCCTACTATTCCATAAAATTTCAATTTAGATAATAGAACATCATGATTAACACAATCAAAGGCTTTATTTAGGTCACAAAAAATGCCTCCAACTGGTATTTTATTATTCAAGGCCTTTAATATTTCATTAATTAAATTATATGAAGCGAGTTCTGTGGATGAATCACATCTGAAACCATATTGGTTGGATAATATATTGTTATCCTTTATGTGATGGAGCAATCTTACAAATATAACCTTTTCAATAACTTTCGAAAAGGATGTAAGTAACGATATAGGTCTATAATTCACCATATTCGTTTTATCACCATTTTTAAACAATGGTATTATTTCAGAGTATTTCAAACGACTGGGGAAAACACCCGTTGAAAGTATTCTGTTACAGATTTAAGTTAAAGGAGAAATAACAGGAGGTGCGCTAGTTTTTAGAATACTGACCGAAATTTCGTCATACCCGTTAGAATTTTTGGGTTTTAATGACTTAATTATGTTTTCAATTTCTTTAGCAGATGTAGGTTTAAGTTTAATTTCAGGGAAAGGAGTCGGAAAAGCCTGAGATAAATAAGCCCAATGTTTATCAATATCAAAAACCTATAAAATGATCACTCTTAGCATTACTGCTGTTAATTTTATCTACTATAGTCAGAAAGTAGTTATTTAAAGAATCAGCAATTAATTGGTGACTATCAGTTAGCTTCCCTTCAACATTTAAGAACTGCATTTCAGAATTATTGATTCTCTTACCAGTAACCCTTTTAATAATATTCCATGTGGTTTTAATTTTATTGTTAGATTCAAAATTAATCCATTATAATAAAGATTTTTGGCTGCCTTAATGACAATAGACAGAATTTTAGAGTAAATTTTAAAATAGGATTTGAGGTTTGGATCATTACTGGTCTTCATGGACAAATTGAGCTCTCTTTTATGTTGACATGAGGTCTTTATGCCCCTTGTCATCCAAGGGTTATATTTCATATTATTCATAACTAATTTTTAGGGAAGCTAAAATTAAACATTTTAAAATAAGTATTAAGAAATGAATTGAAAACTGAATCAATATTCTGATCAACAAATACGTTATCCCAAGTTTCATAACTTAATTGAGTCAAGAACTCATTTCTAGAAGCTTTACTGAACTTCCTCACAAAATGCCTACAGCTATTTCGGTTATGTAAAACAATGTTATTCATATATAAGATCTGGGCATCATGGTCAGAGAGTCCATTAACATGAGGACATATAGTATAATTTCCATGTCTGTGAAGATCAATAAAAATATTATCAATAGCAGAGGCTGAGTTGATTTGGATCCTAGTAGGAAAATCTACTATACTAGAAAGGTTAAAAGAAGATAATAGAACATCCAATTGTTTCTTGTTATTACTATCAGTTAGGTAATTTATATTGATATCACCACATATTATCAGTTCCAACTTAGTATCATGCAAGAAATTTAAAATGGCATCTAATCCCTTCAGAAAATAAGCAAAATTACCAGATGGTGCTCTGTAAATAGATAGAACACAAATATTACCATGCAGAAAAGGAAGTTTCACTGCACAAACTTCATGGTCTTTATCTTTACAAAAGGCACTTAAATTGACATCTAAAAATGTTAGTTTTTCCTGTACAAATATGCATGATCCACCTAATTTAAAATTTTTCCTACAATAAGCAGCACTGAATTTATAATGTTCTATATAAATACAGCCCAGATCATTATAATTTAAGTGGTGTTCAGTTAGACATAACACATGCGGCAGCTCAGGATGTAGGGAGCTAATTAATTCATTGGTTTTACCTCATAAGCCCCTGATATTTTGATGATATATATTAAGAGAATTATCACCAGAAGAATGAAATTTATATCTCTTACTGTCATAGCTCAGAGAACTTAATTTCCAATGATATGGTCAAAATTAGCACTACGAGTATTGTTAAAATTACCTAAACCATTACTCCTAAGATCACTAACTGACATTCATGTAGAAATTTTTCTTATACTATATTTTATATCGATTCAAATCCTAACTATCTTGTTAGCTATACAACAAGAACAACCTAATATAATAGTACTTTTATTGCACAAGAGGAAATACTCAGATAAGGCAAAGGCCTCATTTCCTGACTGAAACCAAACAAGATAACCCACATACGCTCAGGTTCCCAGCATTAGAAGCTGTATCCTGTACGTCTATTTGACTCTGTATATTTTATCTGCTTCCTTTATGTGATTTTCCCACCAGTTACAGAAAAATTTTGGTATTAACAAAACATTCACATGACCTCCTCCCTTGATTGAGGTCTCTTGCCTCTTCATCTCTCCAAAATACCTTGAGAGACTGAACTAATCTATTCCAGACTGTCTACATCTCCAACTGTATATTATACCCTGAGCAGGCAACTTCACGGAAGCAAAGTCCTGTGTCTTCAACACTAGTACCAGTAAAATGAGTTTAACTTCCATTATATATTGAAAAGAGCCTACAAACTTTCTAATGTGGTGCAATGATCCACATCATTAGCTGATGATGACACCCTCAAAGATGTTTTATAAGAAAGACTGGGTTTATAATACATGTAATTAGGACAAATTCCATATATATTGAACTTACCACCACTGAATACTGAATGTGATCCATCTTCGCTAGGTTTCTTGATGCCCTTAACCTCTCCACCAGATGACTGACCAGTTTTTCGGGTAGAGGTCTTTGTGAACGAAGAGCCCAACAAGCCACTGTAAGCTTGCTTCTTGGAACTGGGGCTACAGGATATCAACATTTCAGTTATCAGATACTGTAAATGTATACATTAACTAGTGAAATAAATCTATTACTATCCCAGAATACAAAAGACAAATCTATACAACTCTGACCTAACCTAAATTAATATAACCGATTCCAGTTTTACTACCTCAGGCATTTCAGTTTGTTTAACTTTTGGATCATTAGTAGGCGTGATGTGTAGGTTTGCACATTTCCACTATGACTTGCATGTACAGTGAAAGCATTAGCACTCCTCCTTTGCATACGGGCGATTCAAAGTTCATATAACAGTCCTAAGACTAGTTGTTATAGCCGATCTTTCCTGTAGCTTGTTTCAGCCCCCTGAAGATGGATCTCAGAGAAGCATGATGTGACAGTGTGGACTGGATTCATCTGGCTCAAGATAGGGATGAAAGGCAGACTCTTGTAAATACAGCAATGAATCTCAGGTTCCATCAAATGCTGGGAACATCTTGAGTAGCTGAGCAACTATTGGCTTCTTAGTTAGTTGGTTGATTTGTTAGTTAATTAGTTAATAAGTCACTCAGTCAGACAGATAGATAGTTTGTTAGTCAGTCAGTTAGTTAATTAGTTCTTCAGTTCCCCATGGCAAATACATGGACATGACATTGCCTGCTCACTTAATATGTGAACTGAAACCATTACTCTCCAATTATGCATGTTATCAAAGTCTTTCTCGAGGTCATTTCACTAAACAAATGGTGACATTCAAGAGAGCCACCAGCCAGAAAATTTTCTTTCGAACTTGCATTTAAGCTCCTTAAGAATATTTTCACAGATAGCCCCATAGGATAAACAAATACATTTATTTTCTTTAACTTTAATTTAATATGCTTATATTTCCTTCTTTTTTCTACTTTTGGTATTTTCCAAAAATCCAATACAGGGGCAGATCTCTTGCTTACCCTCCCCTACGAGCACACATGGTGACAGGTTTAAACAAGTTGCAAGTGGTTATGTTCATTCAGTTGAGCACTGTACACGTTTTTCATAGGCTATGCATCTTGCCTTCATTGTGAGTGACTTTTGTTTTTCAGAAATGAAAAATCTGTAAACTGAACAGTGTGACATTACTCATTGCTGTATCAGCAGAAGTATAAAGGCTGCTTCCGTTATCATTATAATATCTAAAAACGTATATACAGCAGTGTTTGAAGATCAAAGAAATTTTCAAATGGCTCAAGTAGTTTAGGGACAGATGATAGATCATGGCAGAAAATGCACAGTCAGGGCAGAATCTAGAACTGATAACTTCAAGCAGTCACAATGATGGTACTTCAGAATATAATTTGTGGAGGCTTCCAACAAACATTTATCAAGCATGTGTAGTTCCATGAAATGTGTATAAACATAAAAGGGCATAAGGGAGCCAGCCTGCCACTCTGCACAACCCCAGAAGAAGACTCATGAATCAACTCCCTTCACATCTCCCATGAACTGTTATGCGTCACCCTCCATCATACTTCCTCATATTCCCCTCCAGTCTACGTCATTCTGTTTACATGAACGTTGGCAGTGATAACCACATGATTCACTAGGGGCAGGGAAGCTTTGAGATCTGCCATTCCCAACATGGCCTCAGTACAGACGGCTGTGATGAAGAACAGAACTACGACGATCTCCACATCCGCATGAGAATGTACTGTCGACAGGATTTATTGAAGGTGAATAAATGAAATGAAATGAAATGAAACGGGTACAGTTCACAAATCAAATGAACAGCCTATATGCACTAAATAGGCCACCTTCTTCCACATCCTTCATTCAACACTATAATTTATGACTTTTCAATTCAATTCAATTCAATTCAATTTATTTTGTTCATCAGATCTACATTTGGCGATGGCGCCACCAGATATAGAACACGTCAAAGGCCTAGTTACAATAAAATTAATCCAGAGGACAACGTCATTAAGATATTACAACATATCCACAACCATTGTTGCAATAACTGATGATACAATGCTATAACTAAACACAGCATGCATATAACACTCGGACTGCAACTTATTATCATAACAAAATACATATCAACATTGTCAATAACAGAGCAAAATCATATCCAAAGAGTTATGGGCATCTTACAATAAAAGTTTAAAAATGACTAGTGTAGTTTTATTTATCTGTAATTAGCACAATCATCCCTTGTTTTCCATTCATAATACTCACCTAAAGAATAAAAAGAGCCCACCTGCAATTAAATAATTAAATAGAACATGCATGTAACACTTGCACTGCTACTTATTATCATAATGAAATACATATTAACATTGTCTATAACAGTAAAATCATAACTAAAGAAGTATAGGTATCCTACAATAGTAGTTTTAAAAATGACTAGTGTTCACTTCACTTCACTTCATCTTAAATTCCACAGATCCTTTCAGGTCACGCACGCCACAGGATACAGAACATGTCAAAATACACAATAAACACATGCATAACAATGGACCCATCAACATGCAATACAGCCACAGTACAAAATTCGTACATAAAACACTCAAACATGATCAAATTTATGCAGATATATGCTTATCATTGTCACAATCATAAATTAATACAAAAGACCTAAATACCCAATTCAACAGTCCAAATATAATACATTTAATCAGGACTTAAAAATTAGAATATACAGTATAATAAAAATTCAGTATATACAATCAGTCATTTCATAGCAAGAACCTTAAAATTTGAAAACTATTAATTAACATATAACAGTAATATATGTCTGTCTGTAATCAATTTAAAAAGTTAAATATATAAATTACCCTTTGCATAATGTTGCCATTGTCATCTATTAAAATATTCCTCCAATGTATAAAAGGAGTTCACAAATAAAAACTCTTTTAAACTGGCTTTAAACTTATTTGCATTATTTGAGATTATTTTAATTGTATTTGGAAGTCCATTATAAATCCTTGCAGCCATGTGATAAACCCCATTCCTGTATTTCGCCAAATTGACCTGGTACATATGTATATTCATATTTTGTCTAGTATCTTTTCCATAGTAATCCTTATTTATACTGAATATTTCTTTATTATTTATTACAAACATAATTAATGAGTACATGTACTGTGATCTTAGGGGCAGTATGTTCATATCCCTAAAATGTTCTCTACATGACTCTCTAAGATCACAGCCTTTGATCAATCTTATGGCTCTCTTTTGCAATTTAAAAACCCTTTCGGCATGCGACGAGTTTCCCCAGAATATCAGGCCATACGTCATAACCGAATGGAAATATGAGTAGTAGACACTTTTTAATATTTCCATAGATACTACTGGTTTTATATTTCTGATCATGTAGCAGGCTGTAGTCAATTTCTTTGTTACCTCATCAATATGTCTTTCCCAGGTCATGGCGTTCTCAATGGTCAGTCCAAGAAATTTAGTATGATTTGTGTTTGTAATAATTGTTACTAAATCTCCTATATCCCTTTGTACCTGATTTTTTGCAGTAAAGTTTATATAATATGTTTTCATTGTATTTAAAGACATTAAGTTTTTTTTGAACCAATCATCTAGTAAACTGTATACTTCGTTTATTGTATTTCTAAACATAATTGGATTTGCATGTGAGATTAACACACTGGCATCATCTGCAAATAAAATAGGTGTACTTTTTGCCTCCAATATCTTGGGCAAATCATTTATATATATTATAAACAGAAGAGGTCCCAGTATTGACCCCTGTGGAACACCATTAGTTACTTTAGCCCATCCTGAATATACTTTTTTATTGTTAGTTCCATTATAAATGGTAGTTCTCTGAAATCTATCCTGTAGGTACGATTTGTATAGGTTGTATTGTTTATCCTTTATTCCATAATACTTTAATTTATTAAGTAATACTGTATGACTAACACAGTCAAAAGCCTTTTCCAGGTCACAAAATATCCCACTGACTAGCATTTTATTATTTAGTGCATTTAATATTCCAGAAATAAGTCTATAAATAGCATTTTCAGTCCCCCGTTTTTTTCTAAATCCAAACTGATGGTTACTTAATATGCTGTTGTCATTTAAATGTTTTAATAAACTACTATACATTACCTTCTCAAATATTTTACTTATAGATGTCAAGATGGAAATAGGTCTGTAGTTAGATACCCTGTTTTTATCACCTTTTTTATATACTGGCAACACTGTAGCATATTTTAATCTGTCAGGAAATACTCCTTCAAACAATATCCTGTTACATAATAATACTTATGTACTTTAATACTTATGTACTGAACTTAGACAACACAGCCTAGACATATTTTAAATATCTAGTAATATGTGTGTGGGCATGTCATGTGACGGGTGGGGAAAGCATATCCTGGCATAAATTCTATCTAACAGTTTGATTATAATAGCTATTAAAAAAATGTGCTTTCCATTTTTTCAGAGTCTTCGTAGCAAATTCTGTTGGTTTGATATCTTATGTGTTTAAAGAAATTCTATTAAAACATTCTTTCTTTTGGCATCTGACATTTGTAATTTAATTTTTAATGCTATAAAAACATTTAATAACTCACTTTTTGGCACTGTCATCTGACGAAGAAGCTCGTGCTTGAGAGAAAGCCTTGCCCCATTCTCCTTGCTGAAGAAACTTGGGCATAAATTCAGGGACTCCATCTGCTTGTCTAAAATTATATCAATAACAAAAGGATTATGCATAGTATTAACAATAATACCTTATTTGCCTGCTTAAAGAATAATGTGAGCAGATGATCAAAACATGATATGAAGCACCAGCAGAAAAATATTAAAAATAATATTAAAATAAATTTATCTGAAGACAGTGTTATTCTCTTACCAATATGACTGTTGTGACTAGGCTTATTCCAATTTGGAACTGAACTCTGAACTTCATTTGCAAAAAAGTCCCTCCTAACTGCGTCTTAAGTTTAAAAAATGCAATATTCTAATTAAAATTCATAAAAATTAGTAATTTCAATCAGACACTACTGAGATGATAATACACATTATTTGCACTGCAATATATGGATATTCCTTTTCTCAGAAACAAACACAAAAGAGAATATGTTACATATGTTTTATTAAAATAAGTAAAATTTTGTTATAGATGATACAGTTCTTGACAGCACATACATACATACATACATACATACATACAAAATTCATAGTTTCATTGATCCATTGTCCAATCTGGACCAGATATAGAACTCGTCATAAAAAGACTGGATTGCAAAGAAACAACTGAGTCAACAACAATTACAAACAAATTAAGAATGACAAAAGACACTTACACACAATTATAACTACCAAACACACTGGGTGAAATTATCAATCACAGCTTAGGCACAACTGATCACATATCACATACAGGCGAGTGGGTGGAAATTATGCTTCAATAATTCTGAGGCTTTACGTAGTTTTACTCAGTTCCTCCAGGCAAATGCCTGTATAGTACCTCAAATTAGGCCACTACCCCTCTTTCCACATCCCTTTCAGTACATTATTTACCATCATCCTACCAGCGTTTGGTAAATTCTCACCGTATAAAAATATTTAGAAGTTGCAGAGCTTAATAATGTCTATATTTCACGCCATATACTAATTTATGTCCGATTTTCATTTTATTTATTAGAAGTTTAACAAAATTGTATTTGGACTTACGTACATTTGAGGTTATAATTGCTCAGTATGCACCACATTACATCCACCACTTAACCTGTGGAGCTCTCCAGTACCAAATATATTGTAGTCTTCGAGTAAGTCCAGAAATGAAACATAAGGGCAATTACGGTCTTCTTATTATTTATTTATTGCAATGATTTAGTCCAAGTGTCATAATCACAATTTCACATGTTCAGACACTAATTCACGAGATCATGCAACAAATCACAGGAACTGCATTCCATGCATGCTATAACGGACAAAACCACGCACAACACAATGAGTGCTCAATCCCAAGGGGCCCAGAATTCATGAGTTCACTAACCCCATGGGGCAGAGTCCTTTTTGTGGAACCATTACTTCTATTTCCTCACCCATTCTTTATCACGTTCGCTACTGTCCGCCACTGGAGTACATGTATGCAGTACACATCGTATTTCTTTATGAATGAATCACTTCAGTATTATCCTCCCATCTATGTCTAGGTCATCCATGTGATCTCATCCTCTCATGTTTTTTAACGAAAATGTTGTATACGTTTCTGAACTCGCCCATGCGTGCAACATGCCCTGCCCATCTGATTCTCCATAATTTGATCACCCTTCCAATATTCAGTGAAGATGAGAAATTATGAATCTCACCACTATACAGTTCTCACCATGCTCCTGCCATTTCTTTCCTCTTAGGTCCAAATATTCTCCTGAGCTCCATGTTACTGAAGGCCCTTAATTTATGTTCTTCCCTTAAGATCACAGATCGAGTTTCACTCCTATATAAAATAACATGTAGAAGCATAGTTCTGCATATTGTAATCTTTGATCCTTAGAAGAAATAAATTTTAAATGTCCTACTGCCAAATTTGTATCAGTAATAAATTAATGCCAAGTCAAATTATGAAAATACGCTTGTGAAGAATGCAAACTCCAGACTTTAAAACACCTTTCCACTCTTGTCTATGCTCTGTCCATTCATGAAGCAGGCTCTATCCAACCATCTGTTCCGTGAGTATTAAATCATAAAACCAATTTAAAATTTATGATTAAATTGGGTCTACAGTAAAATCTCTCAAAAGAATTTCTTTTTTGGTCCGTATGAGTTCACCATAAAACAATACCATGTATATTGTTCTTCAGCAAGGTTTCTATATAAAAAATGTATTTGGAAATTGTGTGTTACAAAATGGGGTGCTCATTGCCTCTCTTCTTGCCAAGGATTAATATTCATTGTTGTTATGGGCTATCAACTAAGTGAAAATACATTGACGTGAAAACATTACAGTGGCTCATATTTGTAATGTAAACTATAAAATATCATGTACATTTCTCTAGACCAATGGTTCCCAGAATTTTTAATCAGAGACCCCTTGAATACGGGTAAAAAATAATTAGTAATTAACCTCAATAAGTCTATGAAATATCTTCATGTTCAATTGTATGTTTTTAATTTAATGTCAAATTTGGGACTGAATATAATTCAGCATTTTAGTTATTGACCCTTCTACTTGGTGACCTCCAGAAAAGCTTTCACAGCATATGGGCAGCTGCCAAAGCTTCCACTTTAAAAAGCATTCTTCTAATCAGCAATGTTTTCCATTGGGTTTTCGTATGTTTATGTGCATACATCCTAAAATGTTACAAATTTTAAAAGTTATTAACTTACATCCCTTCATCTTGATCATCCTTATCAGCCAAGGCCAAATGTTTGAACAGTGAGCATGCCACAACGGCCACAGCCACACTCGACTGTTGCCATAGTATCTGGTGCCATGACCTAGTCATTGCCATTGCCTTGCTTGTCCAGGTCTCCTGCCCTTATATACATACAATTAAAAATATTAGGTTTCACAACAAATAATTCCTCATGAGACTATCCCAGAGTTTTAAGCATCATTTGTAAGGTACATTAAATTGGACACATCTCCCAGTTTTGGTAAATGAACTCACATCGCATTATGGGAATTTTTGGAACCATCTTCAGGGAAGAAGGAAATGTCATGTACGAACATATATGAGGGCTCTTCAAATGAAACCCATCTGGGTGTCCACCAACATAAGTAAAGCATTAAAGGGCTATAGATTCAGATCAAATGAAGACTTCAATGTCATGGTGGTGCCATGGTTCCAGCAGTGGCCCAGGGATTTTACATGCACTGGTGTATGGGCTGATGAATCAATGGGATGCTTGCCTCAGTGTTTATGAGATTAAATTCAGTGAGCTCTATTACTTTGTCTAGAACAATCCCTAAATTAGTTTCATTTGAACAGCCCTTATATACATATGGACAAAGTTGCCTCCCATATATGAAGATGTATGAGGAAGGCTGAGTAGGCCTCAAAGACAAGTCTGGACATGCTGGAAAAGATTAAAATCTTACCTCCTGGCAGGAATTAAACCCCGATTCTGTGATAATCTAACCTGTAGCCTGATCATTATACTGATTGAGATATCTCAGCTTTTATTAATACATATCTTGTTACTCAAAATCTTAATATGCCTACCTGAAGAGGGATGTGTGTTTTTGCTTCATGATTATCTACACAACATTAATTTTGTATTTTAAGTTTGTGATAGCCAATTTAGTAAGAGAAATGTTTTTAAAAAAAGCAGCTACATGTTTTTTGTACATACTGCTTACCAGTATCGCTGTAAAGAGATTACCAGACCAATGTCTTTTGTGTTATATTGCTGCTAAAATCTGCAGAGTTCATTCCTGTTCTGATGAGGTTTTGCACCAAACTGAGTACAGTATGGTGTATGCAAAAGGTTAAATCTTGTTTCCAGTGTGTAACCCAGCACAGGAACAGGATGTCAGATAGCCTTACAATAGTTCCCACAAATTAAGTTCATTAGGAAGTTAATTAAAATTTCTCAGGTCTGTCATTTATCAATGGGTATTTTATGAGTATGTGATAATTAGAAATGTGTAGGGAGATTCTATGCATGAATGCAGAGATTTGAACAACCTCTCTATGTATCTATGTGTCTGCCTACATGCCTGTCTTTCTGTCTGTCTATCCATCCATCTCTCCATCCCTCTCTGTACACATCTATCTGTCCATCCATTTATCTGGCCATCCTTCCATCTGTCCATCTATTATCCACCTACTTAAATTGCTATATTTAATATCTGCTGAAATATTATATCAGATTCTGTCATTAAAATACAGTGTTCCAGAACCATTGTAGCCCATCTATAAATAAACAAACTTTAATTTTCGTTGTTTCTTGTTAAATATTAACACAAGAATATAAATTCTAGTCAAATTTTACATCATTTAATGAAATATATTTTATTATGTATTCTTTCTTTATATAGGGATCAATGTTGGTAAATTTTATAAGATGTGCAATTGTACTTCATACATTATTTACAACCACAAGAGAAAATGAAGGAAACAATAAAGTAAAATATTTTTATTTATTTTTGGATCTTTAAAATGTTTTGTAAACTATTCCTAACAAAATGTGACTGTTTAATGAAATGTAATGTTTATTTTTAAATAATATTTATCTGAACTATGGACCTGGCATTGTGGCCTGATTTTGAAACATGGACAGTTTCTTCAGACGCACTTAATGACTTCACATAAGCATAATTGAGAACGACTAATTACTCTGTTTTATTATAATGTACAGATAACAGGCCTTTGAGTTTCATAAAAGGTGGGTGAATTCTTCACTTTCCACACAACTATTAATTTCTCAGGATAGGAGTTTCCTCAGTGGAGTTAATTACTATATTTGCATTATAATTGTCTTTAATATTTAAGTTCATTATATACATAGTTCTCATTTCATATATTTTATGCTGCTGCTTTGGGACTCATGACAATAACGTCTTTGCTCCTTTTCCACTGTAAGGCATTCTTAATGCATGACACCTGAAGATGGAGGAGGCAGGTTCCACTGAAGCATCGGTAACAGTCTACCAGACTACATGGCATCAAAACCCAAAGGACAGTAATCTTCGTGACACAAGTACTAAGTATCTTACATGGATAACAGATTTGAGATTTACATGGCAGTGATGATTGATGTAGTGATCTACTGGACTATGATGCCATGGATTCTGGCAGTGGCTACCAGTGCTTGGGAGAAATGTACTGCCACAGTCTTCAGGATATTCTATCCTGAAGATGAGGACAGTTATGTTCCTTAGAAAGCTGGTGCCCATTTAACAGATTACATGATATCGCAACCAAGAAGATGACAATATAAATCTTACAGAGAGGTGTTGCTCCCCAATAAATCCAATATCAGATTCATCCTATAGAATGATTTTTGTAGTAGTTTTATTCAGATCATTTTTATAAAATTTTCTTTGGAGCACTTCAGCTCCTTTGACTTGATCATTCTAAAAATGCTTGGTGCACGATTCAAATTATGAAGTCCTTCATTATGCCTTTTTCTCCATGTCATGGCACGTCCTCAGGCTGTGGATGGAGGAGACGCCCTCCAGGTATGGAGGGAAGCTGCGAATATATTGAATTAGCAGTGGCAGACAGCCGACAAGGGGTAATCCTCCAGCTTGAGGGTTGGGCGTGGGGGCTAACAACTCCTCACCATAAAAAATAACTTTGTTACGAAAATGCACACAAAGCCTTGGACCTGGACAGATCCTCTGGATAAACGACCTAAGTCTGAAAGAGACCAAGGCGTAGGTGGGTGGACAATATAAAATGGATCTTAGAGANAGTTCTATCTTCTGGGATATAACGCCATGTATTCTGTTGAAAATCAAGCAGAGTTCTGCTTGCCACCTGCTTCACACTAGTTTCTTGCTTGACTTATTCTTTGACCCTGAAGATGGAGGTGACATGTTCCTCCGAAACATCAGTTGACTTCCAATGAACTACTTTATTGTGATTACCTCAAATCCTTCAAGTTTTATATTCTACAGAAATTTATGGGGAAAGGTGAGGTTTATTCTTCACAAGANCCATAAGTAAGCTAAAATATTTGAATGGCAGGCCTGGAGCTGTAAATAAATACTGTTGGTAAGATAGTTAGAGGTCATTTGTAATCTATTGGCATACACAGGAACAGGAAGTCTGGTGATAATACACCACCCCTCACTAATTGAACCTGTAGATATCCTATACTCAGATTCCGTCTACAAAGTGTAACAGTACAAATGATTAAACAGGAATGTTGCAAGTCTAGTATCCAGAGGGAAACTGTATAACAATGTTGACTCCTGATGACACTTACCATAATGTTTCCTCTGTTGATCCATAACTTTCATCTCCCAAATTGCATGACAGATTTTTTATGAAATTTGGTATAGCATAGCAAGGCTGAATTTGTCAGACGAGTTTCATTTTTGTTTGCCCTTGTGTTTTTGTGATTCCCTAATAAGCTCCCCAAATTTATCAAAAAGAATTCACTATACAGAACATCGGTTAATACTCAAAAAGATTATAGATTTATTTCAAACTTTTCTTGATAAGGCATTCGGTTAACTGAATACAAGGAAATTCTATATATATATATATTCGACTGTGGTACATGTTACATCAGCGTAACAAGCAGACATTGCATGAAAGAACACAAATATAACCTGACACAGGGTTTGCTGGGAAAATTAAAATTATCCCAACATGCATAAGAGGAAGGCCATAAAATGTTGGAATGAACGAGGGTCTTGCAGATTGAGCCCAGCACCACATACAGGAAATACAAGGAATCAGCCCACATGTCTCTGCTGGACCATCCAATTAGGCAACCCTCTCCTATTTGGACCCCTGTTATTGCAGCAGAAGTCAAGAGCGACAAGAGCGTCAAGAAACTAAAATGCCGTCAAGTGTAGTTGGAGTAGAAAAATTTGTTTTTTTTTCTTGTGTTGGTTGTGTTGCTTCTCTCCAGCAATGATTTCAAACATGAGACTTCTGTGGTGCAAGGCCTTATACATGTGGAGTTTGAATAATGTAATGTTTTCTTACCTCTTGCAGATGGTTTGTGCTGTGTTTGATTTATGTACCCCACCTTGAAGCTGGCATAGGTGTCCAGAGACTGGGACTAGTTCTATTGATTGGGCCCAACTGAGTAGGTTTTACCTGAAGACAGGAGCAGAATCCAGTCTCCAAAACATTTTGAAAACTAATCAGGACGGTTTTTTAAATAAAGACAAGATGATGGATAATGTCCAAAAACATAATATATGTACTAATGTACCATCATCACAAACTTTTAGATCTTATCAGAGATGTTGCTGAACAAGGCAATTCTCTTGCTTAAAGTTGCCTACTCAAGGTTGTACCATTAAAGACATTTTTGACCAAGTATAGCTACATTTAATTTGAGGTTCTAACAGCAGTAACTATTGGGTGTATGGTCTTCTGGTTTGTAGCACCATGTAGTTTGAAGAAACCTGCAGGTTTTGGAGGAACATCAAACTTTCTCCAGATTACTCAGCGCTACAACCCAGACAATTAAATGCTCTACAGCATAACTATTTTTTCTGATAAGAGCAGACTCAGGATATTAATCTTTTACTCAGTACCATAAAGCAGCTACATTTTATATGTCATTTCTGACACACATAAACAGATAACTTGTAAAGTTTTCTGTTAAATTTTTAATGGGTAATGAACCACTTGCTGTGTAATACTTTACAAAATTTGGTGTAGTGTTACCATTCTTGTTCTCCTTCCTACAAAATATACAACTACATACTCACACTGTGATTACTTTTATATATTTTCAAAACTGTATAACCAGAGAGAACAGAATGTAACTTAACTTGAGTAGGACGTTGCTATGATAGTATACCTCCTTACCGATCGTATCTCGGCACTGGCGGCGGCCATTTTGTATTGACAGTCTAATAACTGCATAGAGATGGGAGTAGTAATGTCTAGGCGGTCTCGGCCGTCTCGGCGGCCATTTTGCCCATTTATAACATTGCGTTGCTAGGGGTTTCACACTTTGGAAACTTCTGTGCTCGAGACCTCGAGACGTTTTGTGTGACGTAGAAATGTGTTCATATTGCAATTCTACTTAATTTTGTGTGCGTAGCCCATATGTGTACTGAAGGATGTGTTCATATTAAAGTTAAAACTAATCACAGTATATTAGTTTCATTAAAATACAGATTGTAACTAACAGTGTGTTTTATTCGGCGCAACAGCATCGCTAGTACAAGTTCATTTGCAAGAGCTTCGACATTTCGCGTTGGATATGTAAGTACCTAGTTCACAATGTTATGTTCGAGTGTTTGTGATGGTGCAACTATATTTGGTAATCGAACCGAAAATAATAACACATACAGTACAGGAGACCATATGCAACTCTTATTCACTCAAGAAGAAACGTGAAACAGAATGTGAATGTTGTGGCGGAGTTATGCCTCCTGACGATTCGTGTGCATTTACTACATAAGAGCAGGAAATGACCGAAATTTCGGAGTAGTCCTATTGGAACAATGTGTGTATTGACCAGTTGCTAGGTAACGACAACGAAACAAACTAGCAAACAAAGTTCGGTTCTAGGCAACAGTTGAACTACAACAATGATAAACGGTGTTTTCTATGCGGTTTGTGCAGTTTGTGCGAAGGGTTTATAAACGGGACACCGATAGCTGTAGGACATTGTGAAGTTCCGTTACCAGGTGAGAAAGTGAGAGAAAACTAATCTCTTTAATTACATGGCTGCAAAATATTGGCAAAAACTGGTGAAAATTGCAGTGCTAATATTATCCATCATCACAGGATACATAATTTTTGTGGGATT